CGTGGCCAGTTGAACTGATCCCTAAAGTGTTCTGCCCATCGATCCAGTCTCCTGGATTGAGAATGGATAATAAGACCATCCTTTTCCGAGATAGTCTCACTCACATTCGGGTTTTTAATACCGGTTTCTTTAATAAGGCGGAAAAGTTGTCTACTGTTGCCGATCGCCGCTGCCTTTTCCATCGCTTTTGCTTTCGCCACCCACCACTGTTAGCGGTCGTTACGCAGACTTTTTATAAGTCTGCGCCTAAGCTGACTACGCTCTTCATCATGCTCACAGTCAGGTGGGATGCGTTTTCGAGCATCCATCAGTTCGGGTGGATGCGACTGATATCCACGGCTTCATCCTAGCCTTATGGTTTACCTTACTAGCAGATATCACTGCTGTTTCCACAACCTTTTTGATATCATACCAACCTGCTTGTGGATGGGAATCACTTACACCGTTGCTTAACTCTCTTTCTAGTTGCTCCTTAAATATTTTCTTAGTTTGATTATCATTAAGTAAAACCCTAAGAGGCTTCCTTACGGTGTCTTTCCTACGTCCAGTAAGCCTCAAACAGATACGAGCTTGCACTAGAGCATGATCTGAATCCAAACATGTGCCTCACAACGAGCGACAGTCTTCTGTCGAACCCCTCCATCGGTGGCTGATGGCGATGTGATCTAGTTGAGTCCAACGTTGAGACGACTTCGGGGGTCGCCAGGTCAACAGATGCTTTTCCTTATGCCTAAAGTTTGTGTTGACAATTTACTGACATGTCCTTAGTCGCACTCGTCAATGACTTCATGGATTTCTGCGATGTTTTTCCACCAACCTATTCCTCTACATCAACATTCGGGTGGATGCGACTGATATCCACGGCTTCATCCTAGCCTTATGGTTTACCTTACTAGCAGATATCACTGCTGTTTCCACAGCCTTTTTGATATCATACCAACCTGCTTGTGGATGGGAATCACTTACACCGTTGCTTAACTCTCTTTCTAGTTGCTCCTTAAATATTTTCTTAGTTTGATTATCATTAAGTAAAACCTTAAGAGGCTTCCTTACGGTGTCTTTCCTGCGTCCAGTAAGCCTCAAACAAATACGAGCTCGCACTAGGGCATGATCTGAATCCAATCATGTGCCCCAGAACGAGCGACAGTCTTCTGTCGAACCCCTCCATCGGTGGCTGATGGCGATGTGATCTAGTTGAGTCCAACGTTGAGACGACTTCGGGGGTCGCCAGGTCAACAGATGCTTTTCCTTATGCCTAAAGTTGGTGTCGACAATTACTGACATGGCTTAGTCCACTCGTCAATGACTTCATGGATTTATGCGATGTTTCCAACGTATTCCTACAGCACTAAACGAAGCTCGACGAGGCAGTCGGTGGTGAGGCATACGCAACACGGGTCCCAACCACCTCAACTGGTGAAGTTTCACCACTTCATCGATTGATCTGCCATTCTTACCTAGTACGCGTTTCCTAATGACAGCATTGTTTACTCGGTTGTCCCACGAAATACGAGCAATGCTTCGAAGACACCTATGGTCGAAAACCAATAACCGACGAATATCTTCTACTCTCACTGGCCATGTTTCACAGCCATAAAGTAAGACGGAGCGAACCACTGCGCAGTACACTCGTCCTTTAGTCAGCAAACGGATATCTCGCCTACGCCATAAGTGACACAGGTTGGCAAAAGCCAATCGAGCCTTCTGTATCCGTGCCGAGATTTCGTCAGTCACCAGGCCATCAGCACTGATGAGACTCCCAAGATAAGTGAAGCGGTCTACACGTTCGATCACTTCACTCCCTATCACTAGTTCAGGTGCCGATGAAACCCAATCTTGAAGCAACATTTTGCATTTCGAGGGGGAAAACCGCATCCCGAACATGCTTGCATTGTTGCTTAGGGTAGTCAGAAGACTCTGCATTTTTTCAGCGTCTTCACCGAGTAGGACAATGTCATCGGCATATTCTAAGTCAATAAGCGACCCACCCGGTAAAAAGTCTACTCCAGAAAATTCAGACGAGGATAAGGTTATTTCTAGTAGCATGTCTATGATAAAATAAACAAGAATGGGGAAAGTGGACATCCCTGACGGACACCACTTGATGTAGAGAATTCCGGTGACAGTTCGCCATAAGCTCTCACTCGACCAGTGGTGTTCGAGTAGAGGGCTTGTATAAGGTTAATGTACTTCTTTCGTACACCTTTCAATGACAGACACTGCCACAGAACCTCACGATCCACTGAGTCGAATGCCGCCTTAAGGTCCAGGAAAACAACTATTGTAGGACGCCTAAATGTGTGTCTGTGTTCCAGGACCTGTCGTAGTGTGAATATGTGGTCTATACAGCCACGTCCAGGTCAAAAACCAGCCTGGTTTTCTCGAGTCTGTTCTTCACGAGCTCTCGTTAAGCGTCGAAGTATTATTGAGGCCAATATTTTAGATACTATATTAGTTAGACTTATTCCCCTGTGATTGTCACAGTAAGACTTTTGTCCTTTCTTATAGATTGGGACAATCAGCGATTGAGACCAGTCGGATGGGATTGCGTCCAGTTCCCAGATTCTACCTAAGATCTCAGTCAACCTAGCTAATAAAACTGGACCACCATCCTTAAATATCTCAGGGGTCAGTCTATCAGGACCTGCAGCTGGTCCTCGTTTCAGATTTCCTAACGCTTTCTCAACGTCATTAAGACTAGGGGGACTTAGGTGGATTTGCCATTCAGGATGACTGGAGATCGTGGGTAACCGAAGAGTGGCTCGTGGCCAGTTGAACTGATCCCTAAAGTGTTCTGCCCATCGATCCAGTCTCCTGGATTGAGAATGGATAATAAGACCATCCTTTTCCGAGATAGTCTCACTCACATTCGGGTTTTTAATACCAGTTTCTTTAATAAGGCGGAAAAGTTGTCTAGTGTTGCCGATCGCCGCTGCCTTTTCCATCGCTTTTGCTTTCGCCACCCACCACTGTTAGCGGTCGTTACGCAGACTTTTTATAAGTCTGCGCCTAAGCTGACTACGCTCTTCATCATGCTCACAGTCAGGTGGGATGCGTTTTCGAGCATCCATGAGTTCGGTGAATGCTACAGATATCCATGGCTTCATTCTACCCTTATGGTTTATCTTACTAGCAGATATCACTGCTGTTTCCGAAGCCTTTTTGATATCATACCAACCTGCTTGTGGATGGGAATCACTTACACCGTTGCTTAACTCTCTTTCTAGTTGCTCCTGAAATATTTTCTTAGTTTGATTATCATTAAGTAAAACCTTAAGAGGCTTCCTTACGGTGTCTTTCCTGCGTCCAGTAAGCCTCAAACAGATACGAGCTCGCACTAGGGCATGATCTGAATCCAATCATGTGCCCCAGAACGAGCGACAGTCTTCTGTCGAACCCCTCCATCGGTGGCTGATGGCGATGTGATCTAGTTGAGTCCAACGTTGAGACGACTTCGGGGGTCGCCAGGTCAACAGATGCTTTTCCTTATGCCTAAAGTTGGTGTTCGCTGATAATAGGCGGTTATCTGAGCATAGTTGCAACAGACGGTCGCTACACCATAACATCCACCTAGATTTCTTTCCTTTTCACCTAGTCTAGCTACTTGAGCATTAAAGTCACCAGCCATTATTACTATATCATAGCGCGTAGCTTTTTGGAGGAGGTCCGAAAGCTTTCTGTAGAACTCGTCTTTCACCTCGTCTGCACTGCAGTCAGTGGGGTCATAGGCAGATATGACGAAGAGGCAACGGCGAGTGTCCCTATCCTTACGAGTCCTTACTGTCCCGTTTAGTCGGACAGCGCACAAACGACTATCTGCTGGGATCCAGTCAACGAGAGATAATTCTGCCCTAGGACTCAACGCTATGCCTACGCCAGCAAGACGCCTGGAAGCAGTATCAGGCCTTCCAGATACACGAAGAGTGAATCGGGCTGCTTCTTCGTTTTGACAAGGTGGAATCCTAGTAAGTGACACTAAGTTCAGCAGCCACCACGTCTATCCAAAAATGTGGCGGTAGCCATATTATATCAAATTTAAACATATATGTACAGTTCAAAAGCAAACACAAAAACTTCAATATAAGTACAAAATATGGAAAGAATAACAATATACAATGGTAAAATCTCAAATTGGAATCAAATAAAATACCAAAAATGTCAAGAGAAAAAGTCCATCAGGTCATGGCAAGAATATGTAAACATGGAGGGATTTTCCCAAAAACAAAACATTCAAAAAGAATTCTACATTCCGTTTCACTGTGAATCAACTAGATAAATATCACAAAAAATGAAATCTGTAGAAAGTGGTATTTATCAAGCATATTCAATTACATCACCGTGTGATAGAAACACATTATACGATTTATGCATATCAGTTTCTGAAGACAACCACTACTGTTGATGTTAAATCAAATAATGGTTGTGTTTTGTTTAAAGCAGCTGTTTTTTCTAATCTTTTTATGTAGAAATGTCCACAATATGATAGTGATCAGTTTTTTGTACAACACGAGAATAAAACTAAATGAGCGTTTCGGGGGATTTTATCCTGTTGACAGTCATAAGTACCATTGTCAAAAACATCGATATGATGAACATTTGATTTGTTGTCTGAAACAATCACTTCATAGAATAAGATAAATGAACACTTCGAAGGTAATTAACAGTGAATGTAGATAGGTAAAAAGAACAACCGGTGGAATGGGGAGTCAATTTAATTGTTATGGTCGTGCGTTATTTATAAATAACAAACGCGTGGTGAATTTAGGTCAGTATTATGCCTTACTATTCACTAAAAACGGAATTTACACATTTCAGTGTTTTCTGTATGGGTTTGAAAGAAACGTTAGTCTGACGAATAAGTATAAATGCTTCTAATTTGAAGCTAAATTATTAATGCGAAGGTTTGTTCATTTACATAGCTGAAATAAGAATCACTAAATGTAATTTGAATTGACAACGAACTGAAGGCTTTTTTGTACTGAATATGTAATTCTTTCTAGACAGTCACAATATAATGTTTTCTCCTCTATGCGATCATTCGGTTCATGCCAAACGTTTAGGTGAACTGACGACAAGTTGCATTGATGAGGTGAAAGAATGGATGTTTGAACGATCAAATGTATTTCCTGATATGAATAAGGATATGGAGTTAGACGTACGTTGAGTGTTTTCCAATGTGATAAAACATCTTTACAACGGTTTGAGCTGTAAGCTGACTTCATTTAATAAATGTGAAAACAAGGAATGGAGAAGCATTAGAAATTTATTATCCTCATATTCACTTTAATGGACTATCAGCTATGCAATAATTTTTTGATTTTTGGCAAGCAATGAAAAATTGATTTTATCTTTGTTTTAATGCCTACGTTCATTGTATTTTTATTCAAAAAAATATTAATGACTCATAACAGTTACCCAGACTTTTTGATCGTTTTATCTGTTGTTGTTCGATAGGTTATTGTATTGTTTGGTCATCTGAAAGACGCATTGATTAAATCATTGTCAACAAAGCCATGGCACATTGCAAGCGAAAAAAATCGCGCGATCGAAAGGGTTTGTCTGATCTTGATAAATTATGTATATTATAACTCTGTGCACTATTCAGGTTTTAGGGGTTCAATATTCATCAGAGGACTTAGAGGCATTTAATTTGACAGTCAATCTGCATGAAGAGTTTTTAATTGAAGTGAGTTCCTCAAGCAAACATTATTATTAATTAATTATCTAAAAACCTTTTATTGAGTACATTTTTTGGATGATTCCATAGTCATGGATTACCAAATTTCACTTTGAAATCATTCGGCTCTTGACTCGAATTAAGCAAATATCTCGTTACTCTCGTTACTCACAGAAGCAGTAATCTTCAAAGTTAAAAAAAATATGCTTATTTATTTCATGTCCGTTTCAGAATATCTCAGACGAAAATAACTACTTCATGAATGTTTACATTGCTCAAAGAAACAACTTCCTGAATAATCTCAACTATCATATATTTCATTACAGGTTGTAAGTTAAATTTTTGTATTTTTTCGAATATTCATGCTAATTATGTTTATTGGGCAAATTCTGTCACTAGTAGTATTCAAAATGGTAATTTAAAAAAAGCAGTCAAATCTGTTACATTATTCATTTCATTTAGTGGTCTTTCATGGAGTTCATTTCTTCGTTAGAAAGATTTCATGTAAATTACATGTATCTGTTACGACAGCAACTTAAACAGTTCAGAAACAAAGATCACCAGTGTTCTTTCCTATTCATCGGACATTCCTTCCTCAGCATTTGATGTGCAGTCGTATAAGATATAACGTGTTGATATGTAGAAAATAAATTCTACAAAAAACACTTATTAGTTGAGGCATTCATTTATGATTACGTACCATTGCCGAATTTTAAGTCATCTTAAATGAATTTTATGATTAGAAGTTATATATCCAAAAAATTGTACGTTGAACACTCTTTTGAGTTTTCAAGCGTGTAAACATATCGATTATTGCTTTTTCTTTCTCTCTACTTTTTTCTGAAATCTTAATTTTGCACAAGTTTTGCACAACATGAATCTGGATATGTAAAATTTCCCAATATTTATTTGGCGGCTTCGATATTACATCCGTCATCATTTCTGTTTGCATCGCCTACAAAATCTGAAATTTATGCAATTGTTGGCTGGATTATCAGTCGTCAACTGATTTCAACGGGTAGATTTTACAGTATTTTTATTATTTTCTATTACTTTTGTCAACAACACTGTGTATTCTAAATTTATTAAGAATAATGTAGATATATATTTTATAAAAAAATCTAGTTACTGATATTATTATCTTTTTTCGAAATTATTAAAGAGACAGGGAGACAGTAAGAGTAAAAATCTGTAATCCATGTATAACTCACTGAAGATTCTTGAGCAAACGTTCTATTTTATTTAGTAAATCTGATTAGAGGCGGTATATATTGGTATTGATATTTCGTCACGAAACATGTAGATTTTAATTAAATCACTGTTGATGACTATGCAAATAGGGTAATGTAATTCTGCCTGGTAAATAAATGGATGCTTAAAACGTTATATGAATGTGTCAAGTGTAATTTAAAGGTAACAAATATAGCTTCATTATACACTACTTCAGGGCAAAAGGTCCTTTTTTGGTACTATCATAAACTGTAAAACATAGGTCGATAGGCGCAAGATAATTGATTCGATGAAGCTTTCATAATAAACGACGAACTCGAATTCTCTACGGAACTCCGACTTCATAACTACAAGTATATGTAGTATCCCTCGATTCTTTGTTTAGTTATAACACACATATTATGATTCATATTGAAAAAAATAGTTAAATGATGCTTGCATTACAGCTTTCAATCGGGATGAATTGAATGAAGAGGGCCAGATTCCGTTAACGTGCGCACCAATGAACGTATCACCGATTACAAATCAGAAATGTTGTTTATCAAGACAAATAAGCGATGAATTGGTTAAGGACGCAGTAAGTGATCTTCTTAGTGACAGCGTTTTGTTGAATAAAATTGTTTTTCACGTTTTGAAACTTGTTTGTAAGGTGTTCATAAAGCGGTAAAATGATACAAAGAATAATAAATATTGTGTGATGACGACAACATTTGCAATATGTTCACGGTTTTTCTCAAAAACTGTAAAAGATAGAACAACGCAAACGATTATTAAACATCAGAATTGAACACTGATATCAATTACCTGCTTCAGATCTCTCTTCTCTAATTTAAAGAAAGATTATCACTATACTAAAATAACTACTCCTAATGTCAGTTTCTCTCAATGAAGTATAGGCCGCTGACCATCATTCTCTGACGGACTCTGTTCTGGGCGTTTATTTCAGGTTGTTCTCAATTGCCGAGAAATCTTTATTTGTCTTTCTGCATTTCTCAGTGAATTGTGTGCTATATTCTTCCTGGTTTTCTTTGTACCTGAATTTTCCAAACAAGTACGTTAATCTTGACGCATTTCAGTATGTTATATTCAGTTCCAGCGATTCCACTTAATTTCATATTCTAGTATGGTACGTTTACAAATAATTTCAGTACATTAGTGCAGACAGGCTTTACGGAACACCAAAATCTTCTGAATGATTGCTTTCGTAGTTCTTCGAAGTTCTCACCTTATTCTGTTTAACTGTTTTGACATTTGCTTTGAAAGTTCTGACGTCAGTGTTAATCGATGTTGGTGGTGAGTTCAACGTGTCCTACAGTTGCAGAAATGCACTCTTTTATTATTTCAATGCCTCAACATCTGCATCAGATCCAACATGCTCTTTAATAATTGTGCCGAGTTATGTAATGGTTTTACTCCCTTGAAGTCCTCACAATCACGTGTGATTTAGTTTGTGCATAGTATGTTTTATCGCAGAATCTGACATTCCCTTTATGTACGTTGATAACTGACGCTACTGTAACTACTGCTAAATTGGTCGTTTTTGCATGCATCTGTTGCTGTGTGTGCGAAGGAAGAATCAGATCTTCTGCGAAGTCCAAATTATTCAGCTGCATCCTGAGTGTTCAATAAATTCCGTGTTTTACCTGTTTGAGAATAAGCAGGATTGCAAAAAAGAGGGCTATATATCAAAAACGTCTTTATGCTGTCTCCTGTTTAAGATTCTGCATGTAAGCTTATCCTAATTATTCCGAATAATGATCATTATCTAATCAGGCACGCCGTGATTTTGAAGGCCCTCCCTGTTGTTGTAGAGTTCACGCGAGTGAGCGCCTAATTGTAGTTAGTGATGGCAGAAAATAGTAGTGAATTCCATTCAGTTGACGGAACTACGCTGGTCCGTAATAAAAAAGTTTGCTACGATTGATCTATCCCTACGAAATCCAGGCTTTTGAATTCAAATTCGGGCGTCTATTAAGTCCCTCAGCCTACGTAAAACATCATGTTCAAGAATGTGCTAGGATTTATACCTCTATTCTTCTCACATTTGTTGCAATCGCTTTTCCTCGATATCTTGATAAGGTATCCTTCTTTGCAGTATGTGGATAGTTCGTCCAAAACTGTTCTAAGGAGAACGTGTATTACGCTAGCAGTTGTCACCAGTTCTGCTTGCATTGTCTTAGCTACAAAGCCGTTTGGTCACTTTGCTCTAGCACCTGATGACCATGCTCTACTTTTCAATTGTTGGTGGGTCAACAGTGATTATGAAGTCCGTAAAAAATGCCTTGAAGTTGTGTAGGTTCAAGAAAGATGGACGATTCAAGAGTCCTTTAGAATGTTTGTTTGTTTGTTTTATTGATCTTCAGTGTCGATATTTAATTTCTTTTTTTGCTTTCTCTCGGTCGTTCTGATTCACGACAATTTTCAGAGACCTTCTATGTTATATCACACAAAGGTGTCAAACATCCTTCGCTTGCAACCATTTCTGCCGTTATCACTAGATTGTTTTTTGCGTTGATGCTCTGCTAAATTTCCTATTTGGTTTTGTTCATTCAGCTTGTATCTTGTTTTTATCTGCTCTAGTTTGACAGCTTCCTCCTTATTATTTCTTTTCTGAATCTTTTCACAAATTCCTTCAGTGATCCATACCTAGCGATATTGCTTCATCTTGCCAAAAATCTAGTCGCATGACTCCAATTGTTCTCCATCGTATATCTTCACTATCCGATTAGATCTCTTTTTGGAATGTCCTTTGTGAGAATTCGCTAACTGATTAACTACAGTCTTTCGTAAAATTTATATATACATTCCATTCTGTAATCGTTGGTAGGCGCATGTTATCGAATGCCATTTTTGTCATGACTCTTTTCTTATATTGAAGGATTCTTAGATAATCATGGGTGCATTAGATTTGCATCATATCAGTTGTAAATGTACTTGTTCGACAGGCAGCAGTACAACACTGTGAAGATGACACTCATTTTGTTATTCATGACTGTAGTATGAGAGCAGCCCTCTTAATCAGAGTCATTTATCTTCTATCTGTTCATGATGTGATGATGATGATGATTTAATTTCTGAAGATATTTGAAATAATACCATGGTCTGTGACTGTCTGAATAATCCTTGTGTTTTAAAGAACGGTTGCTTTGGTTGTCAACATAATGAAACAGACTTGTGGATTTGAATGAACTAGACTTTCATTAACCATTCTGAGTGAAAAACGTCCCACTCTCACGGCATAGGTATAA